TGAAAATCATAAATATTTAATAAACGGTTTGTCAAAACTTGATACTGTAGTAATTACTTGGCTACATTATTTCGTTTTGTTGTATTTTAATTAATATTATTGATTCCACAATCCACACTGTGATTAATTCAATATGTGGCATTTAATACAGTTAGCGCCATCTATCGTCGCCTAGATGCACTGTACCATTTGTTTCTCTACATTATTTTATTATGTTGTATTATAATTAATATTATGGATTAAATATGCATTTAACATATACTTGACACACATATACAATTTTTTATTCTCCCACCTTTGAACTACACGTGCGCAAAAGGCAGATAATAGCCTCCTATTAAAAACGGAAACAAGATCATCTATTCAAAATATAGCGAATAAGATGTATATTATATATTAGTATATTATACATCTTATTCGCTATATTTTGAATAGATGATCTTGTTTCCGTTTTTAATAGGAGGCTATTATCTGCCTTTTGCGCACGTGTAGTTCAAAGGTGGGAGAATAAAAAATTGTATATGTGTGTCAAGTATATGTTAAATGCATATTTAATCCATAATATTAATTATAATACAACATAATAAAATAATGTAGAGAAACAAATGGTACAGTGCATCTAGGCGACGATAGATGGCGCTAACTGTATTAAATGCCACATATTGAATTAATCACAGTGTGGATTGTGGAATCAATAATATTAATTAAAATACAACAAAACGAAATAATGTAGCCAAGTAATTACTACAGTATCAAGTTTTGACAAACCGTTTATTAAATATTTATGATTTTCAATAGTTTGTATCATTTTAAAAAATTATCATTATTTTCTTAAATTTAGGTTCTTTTTTTTAAACCAAAAGAAATCCTAGAAAAAAAAACTATATATACAGGGTGTCCCAGAACTCGCGCCACAGAGAAAAAGGGGGCGTGCCGACAGAAATGGAGATGCCAAATTTAAAAATAAAAAATTTCTAGGTAATAGTGTAAGCGAATTAAAGCAAAAATATGGCAGCCAATACCGAGAGCTCTTGCCTAGATTAAACGTAGGGGATTTAAAAACTGCTAGGAGACGATAGAACATTGTTGTCTTAAAACTTTTAAAAATCTTTTGGCCGACTGTATTTACTAAGTTGTCAAAAGCTGTCAAAAATGACTGATACCTCAGGACGACAATGTTTTAAAGTAAAAAATCAAACAAGTTGTAATTTTTTAGGCTTTTTTAGTTAAAATTTTAGAAAAAGTTACAGAAACAAATAAACAAACTTTTAAAAAATTACAAAAACTATAAATTTCCGTAAAAGTAAACAAACAACATTAAGTAAAACTAAATTAAATATTATGAAAATGTGTTAACAACTAAATTAAAAAAAATATGCCAGTTGCTCAAAGTGTGCACCATTCATTTGTAAACAAATCCGCGCTCTTCTTAAAAGGCTAGATTTTGACTCCATGACCATTTCAGGAGTAACCGTCGCAAAAGCGTCTTGGATGCGGTTCCTAAGCTGATCCTCTGTTTCGATGGGTACACTATAAATAAAGTTTTTAAGGTGTCCCCAAAGAAAAAAATCCAAGGGATTTAAATCAGGTGAACGAGCAGGCCAATTTTGTGGCCCACCTCGTCCTATCCATCGGCCAGGATACTGCCCGTCCAAGATTCGCCGAACGTCGAGACTAAAATGTGGTGGTGCCCCATCGTGATGCAACCATTCATTTACTCGATATACCAGTGGCACGTCGCCTAACAAATTCTCTAAATTGTTTTCTAAGAAGTCTGCATAAATTTGGCCTGTTAACCGTGCAGGAAATTCAAAAGGTCCAACCTAGAGGAAAATGGCCAAATTAGAATAAAAAAGAAAACCTAAATAGTTTTCTTACTACCTCGACTCAAAATACGTTGTTTCGTCCCCGATTTCACGGCAGAAAGTTTACGTTTCTTGCATTGGTCAAGCTATACGCGCACACTCTAATAGCGGGAGTAAAAATTTTTTAGTCGTGTGCTTAACATTCAAATTTCGTACTTCCAACATGAGAAACACAAAAATATGACAGTTTTAAACCATAATTTTGCAATTATAACAACAAATAAACAATTTATGTTTTTACTTTTTTACTTTTTATGTTGTTTTAAGTGTTTAATGGTACTTTTATTTGTTATAAAGTAGTAATTTGTTAATTAAAATACAACCTTTTATTTTTACTGTATTGGCACCGCTGAATTACCATGACAACGCTACAGTTTGATTGATTTTGAATGTAAACGTCAGAATTAAATTAAACGTCAGATTTTAATTTTGACACAAGTTTTTTTATATATATTTAATTTTTTCCCGTATTTTCTGCGGGGTAGCAAGAAAAATAGTATACACTACACGGGCAGAAAGTGTGAGATTCCTGCACTGCGCGCCATGATGCCCTCGGCTTCGCCTCGGGCATCATGGCGCGCAGTGCAGGAATCTCACACTTTCTGCCCTTGTAGTGTAATATACTATTACATACAACGCGATCTCCTATTATAGCACTCACAAAAATTAATAGAAAATCGATGTTGGAACCCCCCTTGGAATATAGCATGCGGATTTTCATTTGCCCATACATGTAAATTATGGGCATTGAAGCATCCTTGTCTGGCAAAAATTGACTCATCCGAAAACATAATGTTAGAAACAAAATTTGGCTGGAGATTTTCTTGCTCCAGCAACCACAGGCAGAATTCGACTCTAGCGGGATAATCTTCCGGCTGAAGGTGCTGCACTCGGGTAAAATGAAAAGGGTGTTGCCGATCGTTCTTCATAACCCGCTGAACTGTGGAGCGGGAAATATCCAGTTCTCGAGCAACTTCCCTTATGCTCTTCCTACTATTTTCCTCAAACGCATTCAAAACAGCTTCTTCATTTTCCACTGTTCTAATACGTTTGGGAGCACCTCCAATCCCCTTACGAAGCGGAACAACTTGACCGGTCTCTCGGGTTCTTGTGATAGTTATAAGGATTACTTTACTGTCCAGGGGACGATCAGGAAAGCGCTGTGAAAAAACTCTCGCTGTCTCCCTGGCGTTGCGCCCACTTTTCCCATAAATAATTATCATTTCGGTATAATCACGCGGAAAACATTATTTATAATAACTTAATTTATAACTGTGTTATAACCAAATATAATATTAATGACAGAAGTAAAGATTGACAGCAGTGTTACAATGAATTGGATTCCAGTGGACCAAATATTTTACATATTTTTTATTATCAACAATGCAACCTAAGTATCCTAGCAATTTAAAGAATTCCCTGTGGTGATCTATTGGGATTGGCTATCGTTTTTTATTCTTATCTCCCTTATCCTTTGCGTTGGACAATTTGAATTTTTAAATGTGTGTTTCAAATTACTTTCGGTACGTTCCCTTTTTCTCTGTGGCGCGAGTTCTGGGAGTTTTAAAGTGGCTTATTTCAGAAATTTTGACCCCAAAGAAAGAATTTCAGAAGTGGTCAAGTTAAACTCCCTAAAAATACCCTATATGCGAAATATGTGAGTTTTAACAAATTTGAGTGTTGCTTTGAAGGCGATAGTACCTACATATGAATAAAATTATTTGCAAAAATAGTTATTTATATCATAAGGCTGAGAAGTGAGCTAAAAATACCCTATATGCGAAATATGTGAGTTTTAACAAATTTGAGTGTTGCTTTGAAGGCGATTGTACCTACATATGAATACAATTATTTGCAAAAATAGTTATTTATATCATAAGGCTGAGAAGTGAGCTCAAAGTTTGATGCGTCAGCGGAGGCCTACAATTGCGAAGCAACAAAAGACACGTCTCAGCCGAAAGGCATACAAGATTTTATCTTTAAAGCACAGTTTTATTGTTAAACGAATCATAAAACATACTTACAATTATAATAACAATTATTAAAAGTATAAAGTGAGGTTGGATAGCTCAGAGCTGTTTTTTAAGACTAGGAGTAAAAAACTTCACCTGATTGGTCTAAATTATTTTTACAGTCTAGAAGATAATTCCAAACTTTGGTAGTGAGCGTTGACAATAACCAATCTTAAGTTATAGAACGCTTAAAGATTAAAAAGTTTTACAAAAAAAAAATGTTTACGTTTTTGCTTCAAAATTAATTTTAATAATTAAGAAGATAATTAACTAATTAATTAATTTATAAAAATTAATAATTATTTAATTAATTAAGAATATAAAAGATTTTTTATGAATGTGAACTAAAAAAAATCGATAAGATTTATATTTTTTAATAAAAAAAATTTCATTATGGTCTAGGTATTGCCAATAAAATTTGTTTAACAATAAACTAAATTAAGAATACATATATAGTGTATCTCCTTTACTTCTTTTACTGTGGTCTATAATATTATATTGCACTGAAAAAGTTAAATAAAAATTAAAAAACACTGTATAATTTTAAAAATGTTTTTCCAAACGAATGTTTAATATTCTAACATAATTTTATTTGTGATTAACTTATCTTTTATTTAACTATAATATTTAATATATTTATTTTTCATTTCCTATGATACAGTTAATTTTGATTTATTCTGCTTAATTCTACCAGGGGCGTACGAACAGCAAAATTGCGATGGGATTGGTTTTCCCATAAGAGTAAAATGAAAGTATAAAGATCGTAAACTTATAATTTTTGAAAAAATCTTAAAACAATAAAAAAAAAATAATTGAACAATATTTTAATATTATTATTACTTATTTCACAACAAATTTTCTATAACTGAACGATGATAATAAGATATAATATTATGTTTGTTGTGATCATTGTAGATGATACCATCATTATATTATACATACTTTAATGAACCTTATTTGGGTATGTAAAAATTAAAAATACATATCGTCAAAAATATTTACTTCTTTTATTAAAAAATACATGGACTTAAAGCGTTAATTGGAAAATACATAATCTAAAATAATATGTCACACTTAAATTCCTTGGTTGCACATATTATAATATATGTGCAATCAAGCAGTTTCAGTTTCCTGCAGATGGTAGACTTTCAGTAGGTTGAATTGGTACTTTGGAATCAAATATTACAGTATCGCTTGATGGTTGCACTGGGTCAAAATTGACAGAGTCCAGATCATTGTTATTGCTATTTATAATATCTTGGATATTTGCAACAGGGTCGTAGTTCGATGCAGGAACGAAATTTGAAGCAACTGTTGAAGTTGGTAAAATTTCTTCTACGGTCACAGAAGATGGGTTCTCCATTTCACATGTGCTTAAATCATCAGGCAATCTTAGAGGACGGCAGCCCTTTACAGCAAAAGTAACAACTACTCTAGGATCTTCAACGGTGGTAGTTTTAAATAGCGTATCAGTAACTGTGACAGTAGGAGCATAGATTCCTAAATATTCAACCCAATTTAATTTTGTCGTAAATATTTGATTTCCTTCAATGGTTCTTTCTATATTTTGAGGACTTCTGAAACAAATAAAAGATTTTTAACATTTTAACTAAATATTTCTACATAACTTTTAAATAATACTTATGCATAAGGAATAAAAAAAACTGTTTGGCAAAGGAAAGGCTCGAAAAGTTAGTAACTATAACTCTTGTGGAAATTTTTCTCCAAAAAAGTTTCAATAAGTAAAAGTAGGACTTTTTAAAGTCTAACTTTCTCTTTAAGACTCGGATAAAGTCAGAATAAGACTTAAATTATAATTTTTATAGGTAATTATTATAGCGAATCGCTATTAGCGATTACATAAAAATGTATATATTGTTATAATATAGTTATTTTTTGTACATGTATAAAGATAAGTGTTTACTTTTTAAATGATTTTTCTAAACATTTTGACGTCATCGCTGGAAAAGTTCCGCGGTATAGTAATTATAACACCTTTCATATGTAGAGCTTATTAAGCTTATTAAGTCTTAGGTATTCAGAGTTTTTAAGAGAAAGTATACTTTCAAAAATATTTTTTTAATTAAGCTTTTAAAAACTATTCATAATAACCAAGGACCGGATTTTAGGCAAAATGCCTTTTTGTTTCTATTTTAGGCATTTGTTTGGGACCTTGAAATTAATCCTAAACATATAAAAATCCTTTGTTTTTGCCTAAAAGTCTAAAATGGGGAAATTTTGATTTATTGTCCTGAAAGGATATTTTTTTGAGCCTAAAATAGGCTCTTTGAATTTTTCAGTAAAAAATATATTTTTCATTGCGGAAAAGTAAATTATTTTTAATTAGACCCAGCTTTCATGCTCTTATTTCGCTTGGCGAGTACGAGGACCACAAATTAACAAAACTAGTGAAAACCTAATAAAAAAGTAATTGTGTTTTTGCTATCTAAATATTTATTAAATTATAAATAATTATGGATAATATTAAGTTTGTAAAATAATAGTTGAAAGTTATTATTTACTGTGTTTTCATAGGTTTTACTGTAATTTCCATATATGTATTACATATATGGTAATTTTAGACTTTTTAAACCGTTTTTAGTAATATAATTTGTCGCAATCTATGGCATAATTAAATAACTCTCCACAATTTACAGGTGATAAATAGTTTTTCTATAAAGACAATAGATGGCAAAAGATTTGCTTTAAATTTTACAATTTTACAAGATTTTCCTTTTCTTTATTCATACGGGCAATTGTTTGCAAGAGTTTGTATTATTATTTTTATTATGTATTTTATATTAAGAGAGACATGTATTTTTTGTTTTATTTTTATTAATAGCACCTGAATAAATGTTATGTTTAATCGTGTTGTTTTTATTTTATATCGCCTATTTTGGGCGGTTGAGGTCTAAAACGGCCTAAAATGTAGGTTTTTATTGCCTATTTATGTGTCCTAATTTCCAATTTTTAAGGACCTAAAATCCGGCCTTTGATAATATCAACTTAAAATTCTTAGTAAAAGAGTAAAAAAAATCTTCCTTAAACCACAACTTTGTAACGTTTTTTATATAAATATTATGGATACTAATTCAGTTATGTCTAATTTTATTTCTTTTTAACATAGATAAAAAATAACATCACTACTATCGTGGGTCCCCAAATGACAAACGGATAGATAATAATATAATTTTATTTTTTTTTATCTATTCGGCTTTTAATAGCCAAAAAAAATGCAAATATTTGTAACAATATTGATGATAATATTAATTTAAAAAAAATACACAAAAATGTGGAAGGATGGAAGGATACCGAAATCAGTGAGCGTTTCAGCCAAAACATGTAGAGTGGAGAAACAAAAGAAATAAGATGTCGGGGTCAAGGCCCACTGGGGTTTATTTTAAAAAAGGTTTTTTTATTGTAATTTTATTTTATTTCTTCTAAATAAAAATTATAACTTTTTAAAGACAAATAGGTAAACTTAAAAACATATTTTTTAGACATTTAACTATAATCTTTTTAAACCTTTACGATAACTAACACCGAATTGTTCAGTATACGATTATTAAAACTATTTTTTTTCAAAAAAATACTTAGGTAAAAGCCAATATGTTTTATATTTCAAATATCAAGTAAAATTTTTTTATTTAGTAATCCTTTTCGTACCTCCTCTACTTTTTCTATTAAAAATACGTTAAAAATGTTGTTTTGGAAAATATTAGGTGAAAGCATTATTCTATTTTTAATCAGGTAATATAATTTTTAGCTTAAGATATATAGAGTGTGTCCCCGAAAGGGGTTGCCAATAGGAAAAACTTTTTTATTATGCGTTTTGCGGAAAAAAGTCATTCCTTATTAAAATTTAATTAAATTCCCTTAAAAAATTGTAAATCAAATGTAGAGGAATTAGAAAACCATGAAAATTCTTCAAGAAAGAAGTACCTTTATTCATTGTTTTATTGAAAAATTTTATAGAAGAAAGTCGATGACAATTTAAATTAAAGTAATAAAAACTAATTTTAAATAAGCAGGAGTTTTTATGAGTAATGACTTTTTTCCAAACACGCATTTTGTTCTCCCTATTGGCAACCTCATCCGGGACACATTTTATATACATATTTATGTGTTAGGCCACGTAGTTTCCGAACCATCCTCTATGTAAATAAAATGTGTCCCGGATGAGGTTGCCAATAGGGAGAACAAAATGCGTATATTAAAAACAACTTTAATTAAACATTTTTTTAAGCTGTGCAAAATGAGTACTCTCTGCGTTTCTTATACATTTTTAACCGAATAATTTTTAAATAGTGACAAAGACGACAATCTTTTTCTGTGAATTTAAAAGAAAAGTTTCCAAATTTTGATAAAAATCAATTCAAACTTATTATGGATAAATATAAAAAAATGTTTTTTAATTATTTATTTTTTTTAAGAATGTTTTCTTAAGAAAATTAAGTAATGATTTCTACTGGATTATTTAAAATCCTTACATTTTTAAATCCTTAGGTTGTGTTTAAGGATTTTACAAAGGTATTTTTTAATCCCGCACAAATATTTTATTGAAACCACATTTAAATTAAAATTGTAAACCAATTAGTATTTTTATTTTAAATCCATTAACAACTTCTTAAATGTGAATATTTATTTATTTAATGAAACTATTTTTTTGCATCATCTGATAATTTTTCAATTAAAAAAAAATAAAAACATTGTTTTTTTAAATTAAAGTTTAACTGATTAAACGTAATAAAACCTAATTAACATATTTAAACACAAAAATAGTATATTATGGATCAAGTTTGATAAACGCCATTTTATACAAGAATTTAATTTATAAATTAGGCACAAGCGAGCTTGCGAGCTAGTGCTTAAATTAATGAGTGTATAGAAAAGTTTATAAACGAGGTGCATACTATACTTTTTGTACGACAAATACTTATTATTATCTTAAAATAATTTAAATCAAAAATGTGTATAGAGCGCCATCTATGAAACAATAGGGGATTCTGTGTGTCATCGTCAAATGTGAAATTTTTAATTTTATAATCACAAATATAAAGGTTATAAATCGAAAGGTATTTCTTGAAAATTGACAGTTTTTCACAGTGAAAATAAAGAAAATGTTTTATGAGCACTTTAAAGTGAAGTCCGTGCCCGAATTTAAGTTATAGTTTACTGCCGGCGAAATTAAAAGGTCAGTACAATGTTCATATAAACTTTTCAAATATTGGCGTTGAGAAACTATTAAATTACTTTTGTATTTTTGTATTGAGATAATAAAATAATTTTCACATTTAGTATTATTTTACAAGAAAGGCAATTTATTTTTACGATTGTATGACATTTGACAACTGTCAACTAACTTAAAACTAACTTCAGCCCTTGACTAAAAACCTGTTGCTAACTTCAGGCCGTGACTAAAGCGCCATAAGTGTCATTGAAACATTTACGATAAAGGGCGTTTTAAAGGTGGGAGTAGAAAAAGAAATATACAGCTCTATTTTTTTGGATCAAAATATCGATGACTTTCTGCCAAAGTATCGCAAGCAACATTACTTAAACTTCGGGAATTGAAAACATTTTTTGTTTTAAAGTCTGTTTTAAATTAAATATAGTCTAAAGGTTTTATAACAAGTAAATAGCTTATAATTATGGATATTTAATTGTTATAAAACCTATAGGTTATATATGGTTTAAAACAGACTTTAAAACAAAAAATGTTTTCAATTCCAGAAATTTGGGTTATGTTGCTTGCGATACTTTGGCAAAAAGTCATCGATATAGTAAGTTATATCTAATAATTCTTACTTAACACAGATAAAAAATATTTATTTGAATACAAAAAGTATTGAATTATTTCCACAAAACGGTGCTTTTAGACCACATTGCGGCGGACCCCACCCCACGATGGTCACTACTGTAGTTACAAAATTCGAAAAATTAGGTTCTATTTATTTTAATCATAATGGCCTTTTTCAAAAAATAACTTGTACAATACTAATTAATAATATTAATATTATACTTTACTTTTAAAATTTAATTTTAATGTTTTTTCATAATAATTATAATAAATAACCAAACAAAAGTGTAATTAAAAATGACTCATTTTTTACTACAATTTTTTTTTGCAATTACAATTTACATATTTTTTGTAGTTGTGCTTTTTTGAATAAAACAACTTAAATAAATATTAATAAATTTAATTTAAATTTAAATTTCAAAATACGATTTTTTATTGGTATTTTAAAATTATAAGATAAACATGAACTTTATAATAAATATATAAGCCTAGTTTGGACATTTGGCTCAAACAAGTGTATTAATAATAAAAATATAAATAAATAAAGAAATATGTAGTTAAATAGCACATTATAATGAAAAATATACATAACAATAAAGAAAATTAATTAAACTATAAATAAAAAGTAAAATTAATGAGAAAATCGAACTCTTATTAACACAGTTCCATTAGTTTTTTATAGCAATAAATATATTTAATGGAATTTATAAATATACAATGTACCCAAATCAGGTAAACAAAACATTGCTATTAATAAAGTAAATGTATAAATAATTACTTACGGTTTAGTAACAAAAGAAGGAAATTTTAAATATCTAACATTCCGACATGGTGGTAAAGTGGGTTCAACTTGAACACACGAAGAAGGTGTGTAGGATGTTTGAATGTCTGTTTTTAGCACCGTAAATGTATAAGGTTCAAACCAATCCGCTTGTCTTTTTTCTAAATGTTTGCAGTTTACAAATAAAAAATACAACATGGACGCGTAAACTATCTTAAACGACATTTTTATTTCGACGTTTTACCTTAACTGAGGGTATATCACAAGGGGATGATTATTTATAACATTGGTTGAACCTGTTGGCGTCAACAATATTTAGTTTTATAATCTTAAGAATTTATGACTGTACAGTGTACAATGCATTTTATCTTATTTTTAGAAAGGTCTATAAGTAGGTAGTGCAATTAGTCCCAAGGAGATTTACCAAGAAAAAATAAATCATATTTTTAAAGAAATATTATAATACCTTTTTATTAAATTTTGTTGTTGAAATTATATAGAAGGTGGCAGAAAATTATCGCACTAAACAAAAGAGCTAGATTCCTTGCAAAAATGTAATACAAAATTTCCCTTTACCATTTTTTACGAATTCGCAAAATTGCAGTTAATTGAAGTTATTTTATATAGGAATATACGATGATATTGGGAAAAATTACTAAAAACAAATTCGGCGCTTTTAGTCGTAAGCGCTCTACAGAGCAGAAACACTGCGCTCTCATAGGTGGCTTTAAAAGTTAAATAACTCCTGAAATTTTGCGACTTCAAATAAATGGTAAAGGGAATTTTGTCTTTTCCCAAGGAATGGTCTCCTTTAGTATGGTCCGTTGATTTTGGAACATCCTGTAAATTTAATAAAAAATTTAACCGTTTTTTATTAATTGCACAGACTATTAACCGGCCTTCTAAACCAGAAAACGGACTAAACTAACTAACTAAATAACTCCAAAGTTAGATTTTTTGATTTATGTAACATAACTTATGTTTCTTTACGACGTAATTTTTCTCCCTAAAACTTTTTAAATCATCACATGAAAGAACAAATCTTTAAAATCCATATTGCATTTGTTTATAATAATAAAATTGACTCATTAAAAAAAAACAAGACTACGTTTTATAAAACACAGTTTTTCTGAATCCGATTGCTCTAGAATATTTTTTTAAGCCTATAATAATTTTTATATTATTTTATTATAACACTTATATCTATATAGAAATACCTCATATATGATATATATATAATGATGCTAGTTTAAAAGTCAAATTAATATAAACCCCAGTACAAAAATAAAGCTTAAATGTCATCATGTGAGATGATGTGACAAAATTGACAAAATTTTAAAGAAATGTTCCAATTAAATGCTTGAAAAAAATGTATATAATAATCATATTATAACACTAATATATAGAAATACTTCTTATTAATACTAGTTCAAAAGTAAAATTATTATAATAAATTTAATAGTTAACCAAAAAAGAGGTTTTAACCCACTAAAAAGTATAAAATAATTGTAAGATTTAAAACGAAAAACGTGGTGCGCATGTAAAAGATAGGTAAGAAGTGTGTCTCATCTGTAACCTGTCATCCTTCATCTATCACCTGTCATTTGTCACCTGCTATCTGTCACCTGTCATCTGTCAACTTTACAACTCTACACTCCTAACTATTATATATTGCATGCGCTCCACATTTTTTGTTTTAAAACAGTTAACTGTCAAGTTACAATTGTTGACATAATTGTAACTATGACAATTAAGCATTGGATAAATTTCGTGTAAGGTGAATATACTGGGCCAGTATTACTGACGCTTAGTGCATTAGTTTAAACCGAGTTACTCGGTTTAAACGCACTTAAATGTCGTTTTTAGTTTTTTTAAACTATTAATTTAATTTTTACTTTTTAGTCTTGTAATTGTAAGATTTAAAACGAAAAACTTGGGGCACATGCAGTAGATAATAGTAAGGATTGTATAGAATACTCTCTCAACATTACAGTATAATAAAAGTGTATGTAAAACTGTGTGGATTGAATAAGAGCAAGATTAAGCAGCATTAGAAATAATTGTTTTTTATTTCAAAATTATTATTAGGTTGGCAACATTTGTCAACCCAATAATAATATTCAGGGGGACCCAACAACGAGAAGCTAATTAACCCAGGGAACACCCACTGTTGCCACGTTCCTCCGCGTCATCTGTCAAACAAAACTATTAAACTTAAACAAATCTTTAACCTAATTTCTTATACGAAATGTCAATATTATTATTATTATCTATGATGCCTCTACTGTGTAAATTTGTTACGTCATAATTATAATCCGTTTTTGTTCCCCGAGCGTTTAACATTTGACATCAAGCTTGGCATGCGAGAGGTCCCGGGTTCGATACTAAGAAGCTGTCGAACTTTTTTTATTTTTTTATTTCATAAATTTGTTGTTTCTTTGTTAAACAGTGTTCGGTTGGGTTGGGTTGGTTGGGTTGTTTTAGTTTTATCGTAACATAAAATCTACTAGAAGTTGTCGAACTGTTTTTATTTCATAAATTTGTTGTTCCTTTGTTAAAAAGTGTTTTATTTTTATCGTAACATAAATTTGCCCATTTTAGTTGGGTTTTTTGCTCAATGGGGCGGGGGGGGGGTGGCCAATGGGGTGGGGTCGGTTGGGTTGTGTTGTTGAGTTTGGGTTGGTTTGGTTTTATGGTTTTAATAGTTTTGTTTGACAGATGACGCGGAGAAACGTGGCAACAGTGGGTGTTCCCTGGGTTAATTAGCTTCTCGTGACCCAACAAGATATCTGTCATCTGCAACCTGTCACACAGGTGACCTGTTTCATCTTGACACCTGTCGAACTATTGCTTGATATTTTGTTGGTTTTCCCTGTATATAATATGTTTAGGTTGACAAATCGTCACCTGAGAATTATAGTGTTCTATCTGCATTTTCTTTTTTTTATTCAGGTTAGTCTTGTTTTAAGTATTAAAGATGCATATTGTTCTATCTATATATAATTGGGGTAGAAATTGTACAGTTTAAACCTTAAACTTTACAATTTCTACCCCAATTATGTATAGATAGATCAATATCATCTTTAAGACTTGAAACAAGACTAACCTGAATAAAAAAAAGAAAATGCAGATAGAACACTATAATTCTCAGGTGACGAAATGTCAAATTTATTTTTTTCTAAAAATACCATAAATTACCTATAAATTATAATAAGTAGTATAGGTATACTATACTTAGATTTTATTGTCATCCAGTTCTGAGCTATGTTTAAAGTCTCTACACCGAAAAAAATATATTCGTTGAGTTAACATTTGCCTAAATGTCATTTTTGAAAATGTTGTTTCAACAAAAAACCTATTGGATTAATCTATATTTTGGTGTCAAAGCAATAGTCAGAGTTTGTCAAAGTTTATTTGTTCATTCGACAATTTAAAATATTGATCTTACATGAACTAATTGTTTGAATTAAAGTTTTTATCCTATTTTGATTTAATAGCTGGAATTGGTTAAATCAAATACTAAAATTGTTGGGATTACCTAAAAAAACTATTAGATTAACGTTTAGTTGCTGTTTAATCCACAACATTAAATTTGTTCATTTAACAAATTGTAAATGTTATTTTAAAATTTAAAATGTTAAATTTGCATTCATAAAGTTGCCTTAACACTCTAAGAATGTTAAATTAACAAAATTAGCAGATTGGAACAAATATCCTAATTTTGTTCATTTGACTGTTATTTGTTGTTCAATTAAACAATACAATTTGACATTTTTAGATGGTTAAGTAAACGTGCAAAAACCATTGCTTGTATTTAAAGTGCATAAAGAGTTGAATTAATATTTTTTTGTTGTTTCAACAGCTTATTTTTTTCAGTGTAGCTCATCGGGAAGTTAGTTTAAAATAGATTACAAAATTTGCAGATAAACTCTCCAGAAAGTCATTATAAAAAGAATATTTATTAATATTAATATTTTATTATGTGATACCTACTTGGGACAAGTATGAAAAAATAATCTTCCAAAATATATAATTATATTTACCTACTTTAAAATTTAAGTGTTAAAATATAAATTCTCCTTTGCAGCATTTGTGAGAAAATATAAGGAAATAATAATATCCTCTAGAAAAGCATTACACATACCTTAATTACATAGTCGATAAAGTAGTTATAATATTTACTAAATGTTTGTGATAAAAACTTGTTTTTTTTTTAATGGGAAAACATAACTAATTTAATAAATAAACTCGAATACCTACTATTCCGGTCATAGTTTCTTTTAAACATCATTTAGGGGCGAATTTACATTTAATGGAAAATAACGGAGAGGTTAATTCCTTTTTGCCGAAAAATATTATTACCATCTTCAATAAAACATGCACCTGCACAATGCAACCTTTGGATACATCTACCTTTACTTAAGGTAAAAGGAAATAGCTGACAATTAGCATGTTAGTGCTATTACAATTGTATTTAAAATAACGTACACAAACTATTACAATAAAACAAATTCTTCCCAGGACTATGCTAAATCACACATGAGCTTACAATAAATCAAAGACTATAGTTATAACTAATATAATATATAATAATATTACTTAAGTTTAAAAGTAAAATATAATTAAAAATACTAAAGATATTATGAATAATTATAATTATTATGAATAAAGTCACAATTGTTATAAAAATATTATTATTGTGCTTATTTTTCTTTTTTATCTAAATAAATAAATAAATAATTAAATAAAGACAAATTAAATTTTCTTTCGAATACTAAAAAAACCCAAATGCCTTTAAGAAATCCAATTCGTTGCAAGTATTGTATTTGACAATATATTTATTTTAAAAACTTGTTAATTGTTAATATTTTACAATAAAAGTTTTTTCGGTGTAATTAAAAATAGCAATAGTGAGAAAACATTAGATTAGGATCTAATCTATTCAAAGAAAGCCTGCATTTGTATTATATGTAAATAACCAATTTTAATATTAACATTTGCAGTTGGTTGCAGTCCGATGCCATGCAAAATAAATTGCAATTACCGCTGCAGAAATTATATGTTAATAGCTAGCAAATAAAGATTGACAGCTAATTTAAGACATTTTAATCTACTGACCTGCTTTTATTGACTACCCCGTACTGTTATTCGAATAAAGGAATTTGCTTTGTTATTATTATTTATGTTGGAGTATACTTATAAAACATATTTATTCTCAAAATTAT